TTTCCCCTTTTTTTTCAGTTTTTTATTCTGTAAGTTAATTTCTGGTTTTAAGGTACAAGTATTCTTTAAAAAGTTACACGACTTGACTTCAAACTAGTGACTTAAATTATGCATCACACGTTGTTATTTAGTGTGACATCACTGCAACAGAGTGTGACAAAACAAGCAGACCTAGTTTAGTGTAAGGCTTGTGAAAGAGACAAATTCATCACTCATTTGCTGATTATCTGTTCTTCCCTTTGACTGGAGAAATCAGTGCCCAGCTCTAACCTTTGCAAAATGCTAAAGAGTATCTGTCTCCTTAAACTGATTATGAGCAAATTAGTATTTATAGCTGTTACACCTAAGGTCTTTGTATCGTACAAATTGCTAAGGGCCACTCAAGCTTTTCTACCCTATTCTAGTTCTTCTTCATTTCAGTTAGCAGGGAGTTTGGGGGACCACGTATGGTCACTCGTACCAACCCCTTCTGTTTTGAGCTCTGCTTGGGGATTATGGTGTACAGCCAGGATCATTTCAGCGTGGTTCTGCTCTCCTTCTGATCTTTAAAAGCTGGCACAGGGAGGAGGTCAGTCTCATAAATTTTCTGCCTGTGCCATCATCTTCTACATTCACAAATGATTATTTCAGGTCCGCGTTGTCAAATGATTTCACTAGCAGAATAAGAGCCAAATCTCGAGCGTAACTGAGTAGCCACTGTTTTATGGAGCTGATTGCTGTCAGGTCCATCGAGGTCATCAAGCACAGTCTCCCTGCAATCAAAGCAACATTGGTACTATCTGATTAGTCCACAGGTCCAAATACTGCCATGGTCACAAAATATTACAGGCTTGTAACGTAAAGGACTAAAAGCTATGCATTATAAGGTGCCAACTGGGGGGAAAACCAATCCAAAAGCATGTGATATCAGAGGAATTGCCAATGCATTCAATTCCTGCAATAGGAAGAAATTTGAACTGTGAAATTCTCGGGAGGTTGAACGTACCCCATGCTGCAGAGAAATGCAAAACCCACTCCATGGTCCTTGCCAGTCTGACCTCAAAACTGGTGATTGCTTAACTGTTTGACAAGCAAGATAAACCAGTCTAAAAATGTTTAAAAAAAATATTCCCCCAGGAAAAAATATCCCATTTATGGCTGTGGCCAATCTCCAATGTCTTACAGGATAGTGGGAAGAGTAGAGAAGCTTGGACATTGTAAGCGAGAAACAACTTTTTAACTCCTAAAGGCAGCCTAGCGAGAGCTTGAAGACTGGGATTTATGCTTGTATAAATAAGGCACAGCGAACATGCCTCCATTTAAGCCTCTCCGTGAAGATTAGGAAAGGGAAGATCCTTCAGTGTTTGGTGCTGGGACT